ATAGAGTGTGGCCAATTGACGAATATACCCAACTTAGGACCTCGATAGAGATTTTGGTAAAAATTGTGCGACGTATAATTTTCGATCGACCTGATTGACGAGACTTGATGTACAAATTTCTACTGAAACTTAAAGGCTAACTGAAATCCTGGAAAAATAGTCGCAAATGATGAGCATATTGCTCGTATGAATTTACTCTCTTATCGTTCAATCAAAGTACAGCTAGTCTGTAGCAAAAAAATCAAAGCCATTTTGAATATTAGACAAATTAAGAAATTATAAGGCATTAATTAAATAAAGATGTCGCAGACAAGTGCAATTTTTTTAATATTTAAAAGCTATGTAGCAAGACAATAAAATTTCCTATATGAGATGTATTCACTAAATTTCGTCTAACGTTATGAATGACTAGTAGTTGAACTTTCCCACAGTGATATGGGTGGAACTAACGTTTCCATTGAATTTCACATAGCTTTGCTTGTCCAAAATGTGTTCTCATCAAGGATGGACTATAGTTTCGACCTCGCCTAGGTCTTAGCAACACCCCCCAGCAGGATGCAAACCATGACAGTTCAGTGTGTAATCTCGACACGTTAACCACTACGCCACATTTTCAGGAGTGCCCTTGAGTCAAACGGCAGATATGAATTTCAAAAAAGGTCAGGAATTTTCCCATTTCGCATCCTCTGATGGGATTGTCGATGAGGCTAAGTTATATTTGCTATGCCAATTGACTATAGTACATATGTTTCGTTTATAAGTAGGGTATCGAGATTGATTGACTGGTAGTCTCAAAACCCTACTTATGAACGAAAAATAAGTAATGTAGTCGAATGTCATAGCAAATATAGCTTTGGTTCATCAAAAATTCCACCAGAGTGTAATATGGGAAAATGCCTGACTTTTTACTCAAGTGAACTCGGGGCAATGCGACGTAGTGGTTAACGTGTCGAGATTACATGCTGAACTGTCGTGGTTCGAATACTGCTGGAGGTGTTGATAAGACCTAGGCAAGGTTGAAACTGCAGTCCACCCTGGATGAGAACACATTTTGAGCAAGCAAAGTCATGTGAAATTCAATGGAAACGTCGGCTCCACTCATATAATTGTGAAAAAGTTCACATGCTAGTCCTTCATCACTTTAAACGAAATGTAATTGATTTATTGGTAGTTTTGAGAACATAATTATAAACTTAAAAAATTTCTTGCCTCAAAAGTTTCAGCCTCACCCACAAATCTGAGATCAAGCTTGATCCCAGAATTCTCATATTCCAAGCCATCACACGCCTCAAACACTGCATTAGCTGTTTCCTTGCTATCAAACTCAGCGATGGCATAAAAATACTTTAGTCTGGCCAATTGATATCGCCGAGCTCGGCGACGCACTTTTACGGAGGCCCGACGCCAAGCTGTTTTCTGTTCATCTACGTCATCAGCCATAAGATTCGTGGTCTCATCATTGTTTTCAGATTCTGAGGATGAAGAGGGGTTGACGAATTCCAAAGGACCTTTGACGTTTTCCTCAGCCATTCTTTCTAGTCCAAACTTAGAAGGGTAGATCTAACAGGAAAGAGAGAATAGATAAAAATAGCCTCCAAATCAAATATGCAAATCGGCGAAAATTAGTAAAAAAAAGGTGTTTGGTAGTCGTTAAGTTAAATCTAGCCCCTTCTCTGCACCTCTATTTAAACTAAGTAAACCAATACTAAATGCTTGTGCAAAGCCCTCACGCTTTAATTCAGTGCAACTGCTCCCTTCTATGGCAAATTCTTGACTACGGCGGTCGCCCACAGAAGGTCCCGACGCTTGGCTATTGCAGAACCAGGAGGCTACCATCACATTAGTCATCTTTGTCAAGCCAGATTCCCCGATCAGCCTTCATTTGGGATGGTAGTCATCGAGCAGAGCTCCAAAATGTGTCAATTACCAGTAAGCTCATTTACGCGCATTTCAGTCGCATCATTAAAAAGTCTGTTGGATTTGTTAGGATAAAACCACGCTCACCTAACATCGAATCTTAAACAAAGTCCTCTAAAGACAGAGTCCTGGTCAACAATAGCAGGCAGGAACCTATTCGCTGAGGCAAAAAAAGAAATTTTCTAGGACCGACTTTAAATCAATGACCTGTCTCGATGTTGCGCCTTGGTACAACAGTTAGTCAGTACACCTCTTCCGCACACCAGCACGACATAGTAAACAATCTCATTTGCACGGTTTTCACTCTCTTATCTACTGTGCGCCTCTAACTAGTTATGTCCCAATTTAAATAAGGAGTTGTTGAAGAACTTTGCCTGGGTCTCGACACAAAATGAAATCGATTTTTCTTTTCATCGGAGGTCCTACCGACTTTGCCATGATTAAAATACGAGGGGCGAAGATTTGGCTCATAAAAAGTTTCTAAAGACAGAAGAGGAGCTCAACGGCAGTGATCCTGAGTGCG